TCAACTAAGTATGATTATTGTTCTTGTTATATGTAGCATTTAATTAAAGTTAAGTAGCTTACTCAATTTACAAGGTTAATAACCACTTTTTTTTTTTAATTGTTACGTTATTCAATTGGATAATGATAGAGGAGACGATTTTATAGGACGAAAATAGAGGACGATAGGTGTGATAGGGTTAAATTGATTATTTTGTATCCTGCACTTTGACCTTACCACAAGTATCGTATTCTGTTTTCGTTCTATAAAATCGTTCCCTCTATCATTATCCTATTCAATTTAGGGCTGTTAGGTTTGTAAACAATAATTATAATTTAATTTATTAAACTTACTTTTAATTAAATTAAAGTTAATTTTTAATTTTCGATACAAATTAATTGTTAAAAAAAGGACAATAAATGTATTTTAGGGTATAAGTTAAAAAAATTGAATAATACATAAATAAGTTATGATCTATTTACGTAGATTATTTATATAAAATTTTGATTATTCATATTTTTATTATGAATAGTTGAGATTAAGATTAAAAAAATAGTTAAAATTTATCACAATTTTTTAAATGAAAATGATAATTATTTTTTAAAAAATATGATAAAAAGTGTTTTTATTATGAATAGTTGAGATTAAGATTAAAAAAATAGTTAAAATTTATCACAAATTTTTAAATGAAAATGATAATTATTTTTAAAAAAATATGATAAAAAGTGATATAAATGAATGATTAAAATTTTATATAAATTATATGTGTAAGATTTATATAAAAAAAAAAAACTCTATGTAGATATTAATTACCTTAAATAGCATTAAATTTTCAAAAAAAATCAAAAGTAAATAATAGACTTAGTCCCAATCTTCGGCATAAATACCAAACATATCCTATGATTCCCAACCTTTTTAAAATCACCAATCTCAATCCTACTGATAGTTACTTCCATTAAATCCCTAATGGAAATCCTAATTGAAAATTTAAATTTGGGATTTGGCAGGCAAAATCACCCATTTCAAGAGTCTTCATGAGTCCCAAAAAATTCTAAGATTTCTCGTAGAGACATAGCAAAAGAACTAATTGTAGGATTAGATTTGGTGATCTAGAAAATAAAATTTTAAGATTTCTCTTAGAAAATACCTAATTGTAGGATTAGACCTAGTGATTTAGAAAAGACTAGAAACAATTTTTGGTTGAAATAAAAGGAGTGATATTATTGTCACATTTTCAATTATTAATGTCATATTTTTTATTTTAATTTATCATTATATTTTTTAATTTATTAAAAAACAAAAATGTGTAAAATTTAGAAAAAAATAAGATAAGAATATAATAAATAATTATATTAAAAAAATATAATATTAACTATTTAAATTATAACAATAACTCTATTCAAATAAAAATTTAAAAAAATATTAATATTTGTAATAAAAATTCAAAAATAAAACTATAAAAGGAAATAATGGTCAATATTGGGCCGGATCGAGGAGTGCCTTCTATCCCTGCATGGATTTTTGACTCGAAGAAATTTTTTTGACAACCGTCAATCTCTATTATAAAATTAATTTAATTATGTCTATTTTGTTTTATTATTTTAATTCTAAAACAAAATATTTTAGTTTAAAATTTTGCTTGAGGGATGGGATTGCAGCGATAGAAAAATTTTTTTACAAAATTTGATGAAAGAAAAAAAACTCTTTTTAAATTAAGTTTCGTTGGGTAACCAACAAAAAAAAAAAAGAAAGGAAAAAAAGAAGAAGAAGAAGAAGAAGAAGAAGTCTGAAACCCATTTTCGAAGATTTGCAGAGCTACAAATTGGGCCATCTCGTCTTAAGATCAGGTTCAGATGCTATTAATTTCAGCCTTCAAGATCAATGGCCCAGATTCCAAAGTCCAAGATCATGAACTCCTCAGCAACAGGCAGAAATATCTTTTATAAAATATTTAAATTTAAGATAAAAAGATACCTTCGAGTCGCCGCACAGCCCCAGCAATTGTGCTGCTCAACTCAATTTTACCCGTTCCTTTCCAACACCAATGAATCACTGCCGCGTTTCCCGAGGAAATGAAATACGTCATCTCTTCCCCACACAGTTAATGGCCCACCTCCGACTACAAACCTCCGCCACCGTCCACCGGCGGAAAGTTTCTCCTAGGAGAAGAAAGTTCGTCCATTGGAATATGTCTCAAATTCCTTTCTCTGCTTTATTCTCCATTCGAGCTGAAGAATATTATCCCAATATATTATATTTAGTACGCTAATGGAGAATTTGAAACCCATTTTGTAGTACTTTATGTTTTTTTTTTTTTGGTTTTTGTTTCTGTTTTCTTCCGCCACATATTACTTTTTCATCTTTGAATCAATTAAGTACTTCCATGAAAAGCCAGTGAGCCAACTTTGAAATGCATGGAAACAAGATTAGTGAAACTTAATTTAGTCGAACAAGAGGACTCATCTTTGATCTCAACAAGATTTTTTTACCTTTGCCGGTTAGCAAAATGGAGAAGACATCTCAAAATTCAGAACAAAAAAAAAAAACCAAAAATGAAGAAAAACATGGAAAAAAAAAAAAAAGAAGAAGCTCAAAAGGGGAAAAATTCTCTTCCTCTCTTCAAAAAGAAGCCAAAAAGAGGAAAAGAGGAGCAAAACCACGCTTATTTTAGTAGTGTTCTTAGGTTTGTTGTTCATTCTCTGTTTCTCCAACTGGGGTTGGAATTTGTTCATCTTCATGTTCACCCAGCTCTGTTTTCACTTTCTCACTGGACTCGACCTTTTCCGATCCTTTATTTTTCTCTGTTTCACCGTTTTTAGCGTTAAAAGAAGAAGCTTTAGTAGTTACCGGAGTGGCTAGAAACGTTGGCTTCTCTTGTCCTGCCATTATCACCAAAATCTTCTCCTCGTCGACCTTTGCGGGTTGCTTAGCAGCATCAGTACCCTCTTTCTCACCACTCTCAAGATCTCTCTCTCCTCCTTCGTCGTTGTCTAACCGACCAGGAAGTCTCCAGTAAGAGCAAGCTAAGATCAATAGCGCAAAAGCAATGAGACCCAACATCGCTGCCAGGCCTCCGAAAAGGTAAGGAAGCGGAGAGTGCCATGGCGATTTCTCTAGTGGTGTCATTACCGGCGTTGAAACTGAAACCGGTGAAGTGCTAATTGGTCTCATTTTCTCTTGTTTACTAGGAATTTGAAGAAGGTTTTTTTGGGGTGGGGGGGTGTGTTGATTGAGAGAAGCTGTGGAAGTGTTGAGGGAACCTGAAAAACCGAGGCAGGTGAAGTGGGTATTTATAAAGTGGGAAAGCAGAGCGTTATCACGGTTTTTAATTGTTGTCATGGATTAGGGTGAACTGGGGACGGTTCAATCCATCATCATGAGATTGAGATCAATGGGCCATGGTGTTTGTCTTGGTTGGGCCCAGAACTAACTAAAGGATCGATGTGGGTATGGGACCCCAAGAAGGACCAATGAAAGCTCCCTTGTCTGTATCATGGGGGGAGATCTAATTCTGCCTCATACATGTACCTTATGGTAAAGTTTTTGATGCTGATTCTCTCAGTTTCAAATCTACAAAATAAAAAAAATATATATATATATATATATTAATATCACATCTTAGTTCACATTCCAATTAATTATCACCTCAAAGGGTTTGTCTGTTTGGCACTAGGCTTTATAAGCCAAGTGGTTGATTGTTGTATCATGGCTTTTGCAATACGGTTCGAGATGCTGTAATGTAAGAGAAATATCTCAATATTTATTCAAATAAAGGAAAAAGAGTCGGCTTGTTTTGGCTAACACTTGATTCCGTCAAGATTCGAAGCTAATTCATAGTTGTTTTGGTAAATTGGAAACAACAACGATAAAAACAAATGAAAATGCACGGAAGCTCTCAGCTTGGCCATCTGGCCATTCCCATTCCATGTCATGATAAGCCGGAGCAAAAATTGTGTTCTCACCAGAAGTCCAAAACAAAGAAAAGTTAAAAGCATTCTGGAAATGGAATGTTTATAAACTAATATAACTTGAGCAATAGAAATTGATGTTATCATTTCTGAGAGAATCATAAAATATAAAAAATTATGATCTCAGACGGGGACTATAGTGAGGTATTGTTCCAAATTCTCCACCATCTGTTAAAAGGAACGTTGTGCTTCTGATGATGTAATGATACACGATATTGGAGATTTGGAGTAGTTGAAACTATTGAAAACCCATCAAATATTGGGAGAGGCATTTTGATTTTGTGGTGTTTGTTTGCTTGAATACATTTTTCAGGCTACTGTTAAAACGCACTGAAAAAGCATGGTGAGAGAAACCACAATCATTTAATAAAGAAACTAAAAGCATAAACTATGTGGGTAAAGTGGAAACAAACTATTGTGTTTTCTCTTCATTCCCACGTTAATACCGTGTGAATAGATTTCATGCTGTCTCTCTAAATGATCTCCAATCCCCTACGCCGGAAATCGTCACCTTTACGTTTTGTCCTTGTTTATTTGCTAAATAAGTGGGTGAAAATCAGAATGCACGTTACATGTTGAATTGCCAAGGTGGATAGTATAACATTGATTGGATTCAGTCTGGCAACGAAAATAAGAATCGGATGTCACTGAGTATCCAGGGAGGAGGATCTGGCCTCTTCGAAAGTTACGAATTAATGTG